TGAAAGTTGATGCAGATGTGGATATGTTTTCTGGTTCCATTTCCAATATTGTAAAGGGTCTTGTTTTCTGGGTGTGTTTGCTTCTGACAGGCAGCGTTGGACTTCAATTATGGAGGATCTCGCAATTATAAGATAAAACGAATAAAGCAACTGTAAGGCTCTTTAACTGACTATCATATGTATAACAGGTCATTCACTTGATGAACTGATAAAGTGGGTGCAATGCGCCACCGTAAAAAAAATGTATGTACAGTAACAGTAAACAATGCTCAAAGGAGAAAAAGATTTACCAAGATCAAAATTATTCCACACTGGGGAAAACTTCTTAGAACGATCCATAATTTCGCAAAGCTCCAGCCAACAAACCCACGACATGTTGATACAGTTTCTGTCCTTATAAACACACTTTGGCGCAGCATATTCAAACGAGTCAGTTCCTGTATTGGTCACGTGATTCTTTCTTAAAGCAATACACGCACCGATACGGGGTTTCACTCTTGAGCTCTCGGCACTGTGCTGACGCACCAGTGTCGCTCGTCCCATCACTACCGCTGACAACAGGTTATGGGCCCAGGAAACCCCGGCTGAAGAAAGTTTGAGCCGCTGAGAAGAGTGACAAACTGCGAACTCGGCGAAGAGGTTAGCGTAGCTTAGCTTTTAGCTGCTAACAGTGCTACCTCGTGGTGCTATCCTAGGCTACCATAGAAGGTATGGAGCGGTCAAACCACGGGTCAAGCAGATGGTCACGTTTGACTTTTAACGGAGATGAGAAACACTATGAGCTCTGGGAAACAACATTTTTGGCCTACTTGCGGCTACAGGGGCTCAAAGAGACTATTTTGAGCGAAAATCCGCAGTTTGTTGACGTTGATGAAGAGGCTAAGGACAAGGAACAGAACGGGATGGCCTATGCAGAGCTGATACAGTTTTTAGATGACAAAAGTCTAGGCCTGGTCATGCGCGAAGCTGCAGATGATGGGAGAAAAGCCCTGAAGATGCTTCGAGAGTACTATGCAGGTAAAGGGAAACCTCGCTTAATAAACCTGTATTCTGAACTGACAAGTCTGCAGATGGGAAGCAAGGAAAGCGTAACAGATTTTGTGATTAGGGCAGAGACTATCATCACGGCGCTAAGAAATGCAGAGGAAGTCATGAGTGATGATCTACTCATAGCAATGGTGTTGAAAGGACTTCCAGAATCCTTCAAACCTTTTGCAGTGCATGTGACACAGAGTGAAGAAAAGTTAAAATTTGCTGACTTTAAAACAAGACTGCGACCATATGAAGACGCCGAAAAACTCTGCGCTCAGGTGTCAGATAATGTAATGAAAGTGAACGTGAAAGATAACACTCCAAGGGGCGACAACAAAAACAAAATGGCGGATATGGTGTGCTTTAAGTGCGGTGAAAAAGGGCACAAAGCAAGAGGATGCCAAAGAAGACAGTGGTGCAGTTATTGCAACAGTTCAACGCACAGAGATGCAAACTGCAGACGTCGACCGAAGAGTGAACAAGCTAGACAGGCTGCACAGGGAGAGGGCAACAAGTCGTATGCTTTCTTGACCAAGGACCGGGAAGCGGACATCGTTCCAAGATGTCGTGTGAAGATGAAAGGCCTAATGGTGGACACGGGTGCTACATCCCACATCATCACAGATGAGACGAAGTTCAAGAGCTTCGATGAGACCTTCAAGGCTGACACACACTATGTTGGGCTAGCAGATGGAACCAAGTGCCAAGGCGTGGCGAAACGGCGGGGAGAAGCAGAGGTGATCCTCATCGACAGCAAAGGACACCACCATACAGCAACGTTGAGGAATACACTGTTCATCCCTTCATATCCACAGGACATTTTCTCTGTCAAGGCTGCGACGGCAAGTGGAGCAACAGTGATTTTCAACGAAGGAAAGGACATGGTGAAAATGAGTGACGGTACAGTATTCCCCATCAATGTGCAGAACAATCTTTACTACCTATCTACTGTATACGAGGGTATTGACAAGTGCAAAGATTGTTTGATTTACAAACGTGGCACGAGATTCTCGGCCAGTGCAATTACAGTGATGTGCAAAAGTTGACAAAAGTGGTTGATGGTATGGTAATCAAAGGGAAATGTGAAAACCCTGTATCACCATGCGAAGTGTGTATTCAAGGGAAGTTTGTGCAAACCAGAAATAGAGAGCCGGATGCAAAAGCAACAGAGGTGTTAGGCTTAGTGCATACAGATCTGGCAGGACCTATAGATCCCATTTCTATAGATGGACACAGATATGCAGTGTCGTTTACTGATGACTTCTCAAGTACAGTTTTTGTGTACTTTCTCAAACACAAGAGTGATACAGTGACTGCCACAGAAAGCTATTTAGCAGACACTGCCCTCTATGGGAAGGCTAAGTGTATTAGATCTGACAATGGTACAGAGTTCATGTCCAAAGAGTACCAAGAACTTATGCGTAAACAGGGCATTAGACACGAAGCCTCAGCACCATACTCACCACACCAAAACGGTACAGCAGAGAGAAACTGGAGGACTTTATTTGACATGGCTAGATGCATGTTACTTGAAAGTGTCCTACCCAAAACTTTGTGGACTTATGCAGTGCAGACAGCAGCAGTGGTCAGGAACCGATGCTTTAATAACCGCACAAAGCAGACTGCTTACTTTATGTTGACTGGAAAGAAACCAAATGTTTCAAAAATGCAAAAGTTCGGTGCTGTGTGTTATGCATACAAGCATGACAAGAAGAAACTTGACTCTAGAAGCGAAAAGGGAATTTTCGTTGGATATGACAAAAATAGTCCAGCTTATTTTGTTTATTACCCAAACAGTGAAAAAGTAAAAAAACCCAGAATGTTGAAATTTGTGACAAAGCCATCTACACAGCAACAAATCCAGACAGAAATGAGCTTGGATCAGGATGATAGTGATGATTGTTTGGACTCTGGCAGAGCAAACAAAAAGCCATATACAGTGGAAACAGTGCAGGATGATGCAGAAACGGGCAGCCCTGTATCTGACATGGTAACACAACCGAGCAGTGCAGACGGTGTGAGAAAATCAACTAGAGCCAAAACGAAGCCGAGTTACCTAAATGATTATGTGACTGATGATGATGATCAAGTGTTCACTAACATAGACTACTGTTGTCGACTGGCGTGTGACGTACCACAGTCTTTCAAAGAAGCAAAAAGTTCACCGAATGCTGACAAATGGACCAAAGCTATGGACGAAGAGATGGAGTCATTGAATGAAAACAACACTTTTACCCTAACAGAACTACCCCGAGGAAAGTGTGCAGTGGGGGTACGTTGGGTTTATGCATTAAAGAGAAATGAGGATGGCACAGACAAGTATAAGGCTTGTTTCGTTGCTAAGGGCTACAGTCAAAAACATGGCATAAATTTTAAGGAAACATTTTCTCCAACAGCAAATATGACAAGCGTGAGGGTACTGATGCAAAAAGCGGTTCAGGAAAATTTGCTACTCCACCAAATGGACGTAAAGACAGCTTATCTTCATGCACCCATAGATTGTGAGCTCTATGTAGAACAACCAGAGGGTTATGAGGTAATAAGTACTGAACAGACGCTTGTGTATAAACATGAAAAGTCACTGTACGGCCTTAAACAGGCAGGTCGTAATTGGAATCTGATGTTACATTCTTACTTGATTGACAATGACTTCATTCAGAATGAAGCTGATTATTGTGTCTATTTCAAAGAAAACGGAAGCGACAAAGTCATCATAATAATATGGGTTGATGATTTAATCATAGCTGCTACTGATGAGGAAGTAATGAAAAATGTGAAAAACATGCTTGCAGCTAGATTCAAAATGAAAGATTTGGGAAAACTGACACATTTTCTGGGTATTGATTTTGATCAGTCAGAGGAATGTGTGAAGATGTCACAAAGAACCTATGTGGAAAAGTTACTTGTGAGATTTAACATGGAGGATTGTAAAGCTAGAAAAACACCATGTGAACAGAAATTCAACTACTCTGATGATGCAAAGCCACTAGACAATGTAACTAAGTATAGAGAAATGGTTGGAAGTTTTATCTACTTGTCTATGTGCACACGGCCTGATTTGAGTTTTGCAGTTAGTAGGTTATCACAGTCATTTACAAATCCCACTGAAGAGCACTGGGTAACTGCCAAACATGTACTGAGATATCTAAAAGGGACTACAACACAAGAACTATGCTACCGGAAATGTGACAGACTACAGATACATGCCTACAGTGATGCCGACTGGGCAGCAGATGTTACGGATAGACGTAGCACAACTGGCTATTGTGTATGTCTGAATGAAAGAGGTCCTGTTGTGTCATGGAAAAACAAAAAGCAGCAAACTGTAGCATTGTCGACATGTGAGGCTGAATATATGCCGCAACTATTCAAGAATGTTTACATTTGACCCATCTACTGAATGGTATGAAAACGTGTGGACATTCACCTGCCAAAGTGTTTGAGGATAATCAGGGTACTATAGCTCTAGCAAAGAACCCCGTGAACAGGCAGAGGAGCAAACACATTGATGTCAAATACCATTTCATTAGATCTACTGTAAATGATGGCAAGGTAGACCTACAGTATTGTCCAACTGAAGTGATGCTTGCAGATGTTATGACGAAACCTGCATCACGAATTAAGTTGTCGATTATGTTTAAAATGTTATTTGGGTCATGAGTATTTTATTTTATTTTGATGTAAAGTGATTAGGATGCCAATAATGTGAGAGCAAGTGGGGGTGTTGTGAATAGACATATATGCTCTCAATTATTTCCTGTTTTACTTTGAAGGAACCGTTCCAACTTCCGGTGTGTCCACTATATATGCTGTGTGTGTTATACTCGACTAATTCTAATAAAAGCAGAAGAGACGTGTCACACAGATTTTTCCTCCGTTTATTCAGCCACCTTGAGGGGTGACACGCGGGTATACGGCATAAGTAAGCCACTGACAACAGACAGTGACCAGAAAAACCATTTCAGTTGGGATGATCCCATGTTCTGTCTCTTGTACGAGTCTTTGTCTGTTCCCTTGGTTTCAAGACATTGCCCCCCAAAATTTTTTGTCTGTCTTTGTCTGTCATTCATTTGGATTTTTCTTTTTGAAATTCTGAAGAAAAAACGGAGGTTTACAACCGTCTCTATGGATGAGCTTGGAGCTTTGCAATGGTGTTTTTTACGCCAACGTTCAAGCTCATAAATTCCACTAAAGCAGTTACACATGGCAGAATGTGCACCGATCGTTTTGTGACTTAAACCTTAAAGCTTTTTAAACAATGCCTGCAAGCTTCAGGGTGTACCGTTACGCATTGGCTTTTGTACTCCCATACAAATTGTTCATAATGACTACGCATTCGTTTGGTAGCCAGTGTTTTTTGTTTTTTGTTTTAACTTGATTGTCAGGGATGCAAAAATTAGATTTGTAAGTCACTTGCTTATTCACAAGGCTGTGGGCTTCTTCGGAAAATCAAACCTTTGTTGGATTACGTCATCAGGTCAAGGAGAGATGAAAAAGTGATTCCTTTTCAACATAGGAAAGAGCAACAATATTTCAAACATATTTGACTACATTTTTCCCAAGTGACGTTATCGCGTGCCAGCAAGTATTGCTGACATAAGTCTCTACCAGCAAAATATGACATAAAATTACTCAAATGAAAAAAAAAAGAGAGATACTAATTGTTGTTTTTGTGAAGAATCATTGAATCACAAACCTTTGAATCATTAAAACTTGTAGACCTCAAAAGACGGCTTTCACCATCCCCATTCGGAAAAATCACTTCACTTTGCGGGCACTTGGGCATGCAATGGAACTGCCTAGTCAGCTACATAGTTACGACAGTATCCCATCAGGTCGAAAATAATTAACATCTCTTGACCAGTTTGAAGGTTAGGATGTGACTAAATGAACGCATGGTGTACACGTGAGACCGCTGTCCCTGTTTTGGAAATTACACGGCCCAGGAAATCGACTACAGCAGCACCACTGTAGTTTGACCTATGACACTTTGAAGCTGCTATGGTAGAGACAATGCAACAACGGACAAGCCTTCAAACAATCAGCAGCCGTGGACGTAGCTCCGTGTCTCCGTGCCAGAACCAGCAGGCTCAAAAACAGTTTCTTCCACCAGGCGGTCAGGAGACTCAACTCCCTCCCTGCTCTGCTCGACCCCTGCCTCCTGTCACAGACTATGACCCACCCCTCATCATCCGACATCTGCGTATTGCACAATGCACTACCTCAGTTTCCCCACAATAGTCACAAGTGCCATGACAATAAAGTTGTACTTGATACTTGATTGTTTATGTTGTTTATATTGTTTATATTGTCTATACTGTTTATACTGTTCACATTACATTACATTAGCTGCTATTTTATCTTAGCTGTGTGTTTAATGCACAGCATGTTTGCACTGAGGAGGATTGAGAGGAAGAAATTTCATCTATGCTGCATGTCATACATAAAGCATATTTGACAATAAAGATGACCTTGACCTTGACCTTGAGCTAGCAGTAAGTGATTCCTATAATGGATGAGGATTACTCCCTCTGGCAAAGTGAGGAGAAGACAGAAGCTGCTTAAGCTCTTTGTTAAAGACAACAAGACAAAACCTTGTGTTTACAATCTATCCGCATCTCTTTATATTATCATTTACATGCGATAGATGTATTATGATTCTGTACCTTTTCAATTCTCGCCCCAAAAAGGACCATAATTTCTGCCCTATAAGGCGCTTCGAAGTATAAGCCGCACCTTAAATGAATGGTTTATATTAAAACTGTTTTGAGATATAGGGCACACCGCATTATAAGGCGTATAGAAAACAGGGGTAGGGAACTCCAGTTCCTTGAGAGCCATATCCTGCCTGTTTGAGATCCCACCCGATTCCAACACACCTGATTCAAATCATTAGCTCATCAGCAAGCCCTGTGGAGGCCTAAAAACAATAATGAACAGTTGAATCAGGTGTGTTGGAGTATGGAGGGATCTAAAACA